GTATCACAAGAGACCCATCTGCATTTCATTTCATCAGCCCCACCTAGACAGATTGGATACTACTCAGTGGAGATTCTACCTTTCTCCACACCCTCTGGATCTAGGTTCCTTCTTGAAAGCTAGTAAAGCCAGTTGTAATAACGTACTTTTATTGTTAGTGTCAGGTACTTAAATTTGGAAACTCAATTGAAATAGTGTATTTTTTAGCAAAATATGACTAAATGGGTCCATGAAGAAATAGAAAACTAGAGTTGAACAATACAAATTGAAACTATAGTCCTAACCAAACCTCTGGCCAATGAGTCAATTCCAACTCCCAGAAAACATACAGGACAAAGTAGAATTGCTCCTTAGGGTTTCTGAGACTGAATCTTTACAAGCTCAAATAAAGTCATCTTTTTGCCAAAGATTGGCTGGTAGGTTTGAACCTCAGACTTTGCATAAGCAGCACAACACTTAACCCACTACACCACCAGGGTTCCTTAGTCCAAGTCTAAGGCCTCCTCAAAATATTCCAGGACCAAGCCAGGTTTGTAGACCCATTACATCAAATGGTTAGGAGAAAACTTGTGTGCCATGAACTTGATTCTGACTCTTAGCTACCATCTTACATAACTATGGGAAATGGCTCAATCACTTTTGCAGACTAGGTCTCCTTGTCCCAAAGATCAGATTGTGGTGCCCCAAATAAAGGAATGCTTCAGCCAAGCTCATTCACATAGAGGCAAATACCCTAAATAAATCCATAGGTATGGCACTGTAGGATAAGCACAGGACCACAGAGTCTGCTGGAACTATAAGGTCTGTGGTTCAAACTCACCAGCTGCTCCTCAGAAACCCTATACTGGGTCACGATGAGTTGGAACTGATTTGATAGGATTTAGCAACAGCAAAAAGAGTACAAAGGGTGTATCACTTGATTTTTTTTAATGTGAATTGGGATTTACTCTATAAACAGATAGGGGCAAGACTTTAATCACAGGCAAAAGTAAAGAAAAAGCCTTTCATAAAAATTCAACACCAGTTCCTAGTACATAATAACTTTTACCAAACTTACATTAGAAAGGACTTTCCATTTTAAAATCTACAACAAACATGCTTAAATATGAAATATTAGAAGCATTCTGAATAAAGTCCTGAACCAAATAGACAGGCATAGTACCAACTGCACTGTTCACATCTTATCTGGACTGCATGGTCAGTAAGCAGCCACACAGCAGAATAACAAAATCAGTCAGAAGTATGAATAATGAAAAGAAAGAGATAATAAGACTGGCTAATCTGGAAATCTTAAGGAATCAGCTCAAAAAATAATCATATGAGTATGTTGTTGTTGTTGTTAAGTGCGATCGAGTTGGTTCTGACCCATAGCGACCCTGTGTAGGGTTTCCAAGGAGTGAATGGTGAGCTTGAATCACCGTCCTTGTAGTTCAAACGGCTTTGCAGTCTGGCGCATTAACCCACAGCGCCACCTCAAAAAGCTGCTGTGGAAGATTGCTATAGCAAAATCAGGAGTTTGGCCACACAAAATAAATACAGTAACTTAGAACAGAAAACGGAAAATAAACTATTCAACAAAACAGCAGCATCCAAAATATGCTGAAAAGAAAACAATCAGAAAACGAACAAAAGTAGACATGATTGTTGTTGTTAGGTGCCATCGCGTTGGTTCCAATGCATAACGACCTGATGTACAACAGAATGAAACACCACTTGATCCTGTGCTAACCTCACAATAGCTACTACACTTGAGCCCATTGTTACTGTCACTGTGTCGATCCATCTCATTGGGGGGGGTCTCCCTCTTTTTCTCTGGACTTGTGGTGTGGTACTATAGGATCAGCACTGGACTGCAAACCACACGGTCAGCAGTTTAAGCCACCTGCTCCTCTGGAACCCTATACAGGGTTGTTATGAGTCAGAATCCACTGGACAGCACTTAACAATTAACATCGGCACTTAAATACAAATATGGTTTCTTTTAAAAAAGAAAAACTATTAACAGTAAGAAAATATCTAGTAACTACTTACAAGAAAATTTAATATCATATAGAACTGTTTCTTATATGACTGCATTTCAAATTAAATGATTCTCAAGTTGTTATTTGTGAAACAGAAGAATTAATAAATTTTGTTAGACAAGGAAAAAAAAAAGTAGACATGACCTTTCGTGTCTCTGGAGGATAAATACTGAACAGTGAATCACAAGGTCGGTGGTTCGAACCCACCAGTCGCTCCTCAGGGGAAAGGTGTGATTTTCTGCTCCTACAGATTTACACCCTCAGAAACCCTACAAGTAGGAATCGACAACACTTAACAACAACATAAAAATTTGCTGATACAGTTAATTCAAAGAAGATCCAAAGAGAGCGACATTGTTGTTGCTAAATACCATTGAATAGGTGCCAACTCATAGCCACACTGTATAGGGTTTTTCCATGGAGCAGCTGCTGGGTTTGACTGTCGACTTTGTGGTTAACAGTCTAGTGCTTATCCCACAGTGCCACACCAGGACTCCAAATAGAGCTATTGTTCTTGTTAGGTGCCATCGAGTCGGTACCGACTCATAACCATCCTATGCACAGCAGAACGAAACACTTCCTGATCCTGGGCCAACCTCTCTACTGTTGCCCCACTATATGTAATGGTAATGAATGGAGAAGAGAATCTTGTAAAGACATCCAAATCAAACCCACTGCCTTCAAGTCAATTCCCACTCATGGCGACCTGAGTCACTTACAATTGTATACAAGTTTAGTGCCTTACCTGTAGTGGATGGCCCGGCCCCTAGCATTAGTCAATCTAAGATGCTGAGTGAGGACTAGGTTCCATTCACCAGGAAAAGAAGGGCTCATGAAACCCCACCCCTTCGAGCTTGCTGCCATAGAGTTCTGCCTCCTCAGAGCTCAGCCCCAGACATGGCTGCTTGGCTCAAGCTCCCCTTGACTTCATTTTTGAGTAAATCAAGGACTTGCTTGTGTAGTGGTTACGAATCAGGCTGCGAACCGCAAGGTCAGCAGTTCGAAACTACTAGCTGTTCCGTGGGAGAAAGATGAGGCTTTCTGCTCCTGTAAAGATTTACAGCCTCTGAAACCCTATACAGGATCGCTATGAGTCGGAACCGGCTCCACGGCACATAACAACAACAATTCTGTTCAGCAGGGCCTCTGGGACACCAATAAAATGCTCCTATGTGGAGTCCTGGTGTGGTGCTGTGGGTTAATGCGCCAGACTGCAAAGCCATTTGAACTGCAAGGTTGGCGGTTCAAGCTCAACAGCTGCTCCTTGGAAACCCTATACAGGGTCACTATGGGGTCGGAACCAACTCGATGGCACATAACAACAACAATGTAAATTCTGCAGAACTCTCCCCTCCCTTGCCAGAACTTACGGAGTATCACAGAGGCCCACTCCTGATGAGATCCCCTACTAGCCCCTAGACACAGGGAACAGGAAGTGGCCTGCGGTGCACTGACTTCTTTCTGGAGGCTGTGCAGAGTGATGTTTTGTTTTAAGAGCTGGGATTTAAGGTCTGTACAAGCCCAGAGACTGAGCATGTGTCAAGGTTTGTATCTAGAGTTATAACTGGGAGGACCTACTTCCTTCACTGGAATCCTGGTACGGCAATGTAGCATAAGCATTAGACAAGGAACCACAAGGTTGGTGGTTCAATCCCACTAACCGCTCCTCAGAAACCCTATACAGGGTGGCTATGAGTTGGAACTGACTCCACGGCACTTAACAGCCCAATAGAGTCCCACAATGCTCCACCAGCATTATCACCTCCAAGGAGTGGGAGGGGGCAGAGACATGATTGTTAGGCACAACGCCCCCTGACTTTGCTTTGGGAGGTTGTATGATTGAAGCTTTTGTCTGAAGCAGGCAGTCTCAGATCAGCAGAGAGATGAGTCCCAAGACTGGTCAGGAGTCAAGGCGCGTATTCTGAGGTAGAATTCAAAGAACAGAAAAGCCCTCACAGAGTCCTGACCCACCCCTACCTCATGGGTTCCTACAGCAGCACCCTCAAGGTAACCCACTAAATTAGCCTTTCTTAGAGCCAGGAAAGAATCTCCCTACTGAGGCTCCACACACCATGTCATTCTCCTCCTTCTAGGGTGACCTCATCATCAACCCAATTGCCTGCTATCCTTGATAAGAAATCATGCCTCGAGGTCAGAAGAGTAAGCTCCGAGCCCGTGAGAAACGTCGTCAGACCCGAGGGCTGGAAGGTGATCAGACTACTGCAGCAGAGGAAGAAAACCGATTATCTTCCTCTCCATCTTCAGAAGAAAAATCCCAGAATTTGCCTAGTGCTGGGAAGCACAGGACTTCAGAGTCTCCTCAGAGAGCTGCTGCTGCTTCCTGCGCAGATTCAGATGAAGGTACCAACAGCCATGATGATGAGAGTCCCAGCACCTCGGAGGCCACTGAGAGGTCATACAAAGATCCTTTAAACAATAAGGTGGTATTGTTGGTGCAGTTCTTGCTGCAGAAGTATCAAAAGAAAGAGCTGGTTACAAAGGCAGACATGCTGAAGTCTGTAATCAAGCAGTACAAAAATCATTTTCCTGAGATCCTCAAGAGAGCCTCTGAGCACATGGAGCTGGCCTTTGGTGTTGACTTGAAAGAAGTCGATCCCATCCGGCACTGCTATACCTTTGTCAGCAAACTGGATTTCAGCGTGGATGAGTCCATTATCGATGAATGCATACCCAAGACTGGCATCCTGATGATTGTGCTGAGTGTGATCTTCATGAAGGGCAACTGTGCCCCTGAGGAGGATGTCTGGGAAGTGCTGAATATGATGGGGGTATATGCTGACAAGAAACACTTCATCTATGGCGAGCCCAGGAAAGTCATAACCCAAGATTTGGTGAGGCTGAAGTATCTGGAGTATCGCCAGGTGCCCAACAGTGAGCCTCCACGCTATGAGTTCCTGTGGGGGCCCAGAGCCCATGTTGAAACCAGCAAGATGAAGGTCCTGGAGTTTTTGGCTAAGGTCCACGAAACCGTGCCCAGTGCCTTCCCAGCCTGGTATGAAGAGGCTTTGAAAGATGATGAAGAAAGAATTCAAGCCAGAATCGCAGCCAGGGCTCGCAATAGTGCCATGGCCAGAGCCCACTCCAGCGCCACATCCGGCAGTTCCTCCTGCCCCAAGTGAAATATAAAGAAGATCCTTTAATTTTTCATTAAAAAGGGCTGTCAACATTCTAATAGTGGAGGGCTAGGTTAGAGTTGGAGAAAATTACATATGTATCTGTTCTATATGAGTAGCTTGAAGTTTTATCTTTCTTTTTAAGGTTAGATTTCAATGATTGAAGGCTAAGGCAGATTCTTTTCTTTATGAACAAAAAAGAAAAAGGCAAGTCAACATCTAAGTAGTAGACGGCCAGGATGGGGCACAGGGAACACAGCGTCTGTCACCTGTGGGTTCCTGTTGTATGCGGGTGACTTTGAGTTCCTTCTCCCCTCTTCCCTCCCTTCCCCTCTCCTTTTTCTTTCTCTCATTATACTTCACATGTAGTTCCTTTTAATAACAGATTTTAAAAGCTTCAGAATGTAGGTTTATGAATGACTTTGCTTACACATTAATTTCTGTTTAAGAGTAAGTTTTGTATTTAGTGATCCATAGCAAGAGAACATGGCATCAGAACCGGCACTTCATTGGAAATGGGAAATAAATCAGCAGTAAAATTGTTGAGGTCAAGAAATAGAGAAAAAAGGCAAATGATGGTCAGTTTTTTATTTTCCATATCCATTCTAGTCTGTTGTTTAGGAAAAATAAAAAATATATATCTGGGTTTGCCTATTAACATCTTCAAGAATGTGGGAGAAATAAACGTTTTGAACTAGAACTCATGGTCACTGGTTCATTCATTCTTCACATGTTCATTTCTCATCTGATTTTTGAAAGTAGCCTGGCTAGAAATGGGCAACTAGATTATAGAACATCCAGCCCCAGCTCTAAGAATTCTACAGTCTAGGAGCAGCAATCCGATAGGGAAGGTGGCAAAATGCTTTGTAAGACTTAAAGGACGAGAACAAAGAAGGAATAATGAGGTTAGTGGTCAGGGAGCGCTCCACTTGAAAGCAATAGAATACAAATGCCCTGAGTCAAGGGAGGGTAAGGCTTTGGAACACTGCAAGACCTTCAATGGGGCATTTATTGTTGTTGTTAAGTGTCATAGACTCGGTTCTGACTCATAGCGACTCTGTATAGGGTTTCCAAAGAGCCGTGGGTGAGTTTGAACCCCCTATCTTGCAATTCAAATCGATCTTGAGGTCGAGCACTTATCCTATGACTCTATACCAGGACTCAGTGGGGTATAGTTTTAAGTTAAACTGAATGATGGACTGGATGAGGTTGTGGGGATGGTGAGCAGGGAGCAGACCCCTGAATGTTGTGCCTAAGAGTTGAAAGTCAAACCCTAGGAATAGAAAACTGCTCTTAAAGATTGATTTTGTGGTCATCAATAAATCAGAGGAAAATCTTCACCAAGGAAAGATTGGAAGGTGGCCTGTGTTCTTATCCCAGTGCACTTGAACCCAGAACACAAACTAGTTTTATGCACGTCACCTCCAGGGAGTTTCTGATGAAACTTTCTTGAAGTGAGATGCCCAGAAGCTACTGTGCTGATACTCTTTGGCCCTGGTCTGGGAGAGCCAGCGCCCACTCCAGTAAAAAGGACACTTTAATGATATTATCTTGACTGTAGTTTGGCAAACTCTAACTAGATTTCTGGTGAGGGTGAATTGAGTGAAAATAGGGGTGGTTTACAAGGAAAGGCAGCAGGGAGGGAGTTCATTAAAATAAATTTTAGAAACTTTGAATTGCATCAAATTGGAGAAGACACCCTCACACCCAAAGTAAATAGCGTCATCTAAGGAAACTTTACATTGTTTTACCTGCTAGGCAGTCTTATTGGATGACTTGATGTTTCCTTTGTTATTGTTAAGTGACGTCTAGTCAATTCTTGTATAGGGTTTCCAAGGAGCAGCTGGTGAGCTTGAACCACTGACCTTGCAGTTCAAACGGCTTTGCAGTCTGACGCATTAGCCCAAGAAAGCTGCATATTCTCTGAATTTAAACCAAAAAAAAAAAAAAAAATCCCTAGAGGAGAAGGTGCTATCAGCTACAATAAAAAATTCATAGTAATAACTGCCATTCATTAAAAACCTAATATTGGCCTAGAAAATTTCTGGAACCTGACCAACTCTTCACTGCCTACTCCTTTGAAGGCTGCACCTGCTCCAAGTGGAAAACACAACCCAGAATCACCCACCGTCCCCTGACTTACTTGGAGCTTCCAATTCACTGAAGAAGTCCCAAGGAGGTCTCACCCCTCTATTCCTTTAAGTGCCCCATGACAGTGAAGTTCAGATACTTGATTGTCCACCCTTCCCCCAGCAGACATCTCTACCACACTCCCAAAGTATACTCCAAATGGGCTGGTGATTGCTGCTGTTGTTGTTGTTGAATGGCATGTGCCATGGAGTCGGTTCCAACTCAGAGCAACCCTGTAAAGGGTTTCCAAGGAGCAGCTGGTGAGTTTGAACAGCTGACCTTTCGGTTCAAACTGACCTTGCGTTCGAGTGCTTATCCTACAGTGCCACACCAGGTTGGTGATTAGAGTCCGATTTATGATTTTGCACAGAATATACTAGTCCTTGGGGAGTACCATGGGGTCTCCATAAATTAGAATCAACTCGAAGGCAGCTGGTTATGTCATTTTCATGCTTTTTCCTTCCATTCCGTAGCAAATGTGAAGGGCCCGGTATGGTGAAACCGCATGATGGAACCAGCCCAAATAACTGAGTTTACCTGAAAGCAAAAAGCCTCTGCCAATCACAGCACATTTTACATGCATGAGAAATCAAATGTTGTTGTGTTAAAGTGCTCAGACTTCACCTTTTCTCTGTAGCTAGTGTGTAGTTAGTTGGTGGTAGGAATCCATTCAGGGACACCTCAGAAGACAGGCCTGGTGCTCTGCTTCTGAAAGCCCTAGGGAACACTTTTACTCCGCACATATGAGGTTGCCATGAGTTGGAATCGATTCAAGGACAACTGGTTTGGTTTGATGTTTTGATTTGATTTGTTTGTGTAGTTTTTGTTGGGAGAGCTTTACTATGTTTGTGGTTATGTTTTTGAATTTTGGTCAAGCTTCAGAATTAATTACATTGCTTCATTATTTTCATTTATACTTCTATTTTTTTAAATATTATGTTGAGTAGAGAATTTAATGAATCCCTTATCTATACAAAGTTATAGTCTTGCAATGACATCTTAAGATGTTTTACATTCTGAGACATGCCCCCTTTACTTAGATAAGTAAGGACTTGGTCAGAAAGGCCAGGTGCCAGGGAATGCAGACAGTAAGGATTTGAGGGCAGAGTAATTGTCAGAGTCCACGAGAGAGACCGCATACCCAGGGCAGGACGGCAGCCCCTCTCCCTCTCTGGGTCCAGAGCCCCTAGCTGCTCCATCTTTTCATCTCTGCCTCCATCTCTGGAGTCACTGCTTCTCTGGGTAGGGTCTCATACTCCACTCATCTCCCTTGATGGTCCCAGGGACCTCCGCTCCTAGACTACAAAGTCAACCACTCCCCTCCTTTCGCTACAAAATGTCTACCTTTACATTTCCAACCCTCACAGTCAGCCGTGATAGCAATTATTCACTATTGTACCAAGAAAGTCCTATCCCCATCTCCTTTCATCAGCCCCGCCCAGACAGATTGGATACTATTCAGTGGAGACTCTACGTGCCCTTTGGATCTAGGCTCCCTCTTGAAAGCTTGTAAGCCAGTCAATTCTTGCCTTTGTAGCTCCCCCATTTTCGGTAGCCAACGTCCAAGTTGCCCATCCCTGTCTACGCTGTGTATTGAGGGGGGCGGGGATGATCCTTGCTATAAAGGTTTATTCCCTCTTTTGGGCTACTGCATCCATAGGTGTAGGTCAAGTTCATCAAATTGTATCAGATTATTTTTTTCCTCTTCTTTCTTCTTCTAGTTGAGTTCTGATCATCCAGCCATTGAAACCAGGTCAAGTGGGTATTATCTGCAAGTATGGGTGTTCTTGTGCATATGCCCTCTCTTCTTATCAGCTGGATGTTTCACTCTCTACTCTAGTCCTCTGTGGCTATGTCACTGACTCTGGACCCAAGAGTCTCCAGGTCTTGCCATACTGCTGGCCAACCAGGTCTCCATCCGGGGTCACAGGCGTCTATTGAGCGTGGTAGGGTTTAGCTCGCAGCTTCATTGCTGCTTTTCCCCCACGTCCCCTTATCGGTGACCAACGTGGTCACCAGTCAGAGCGCATGTCTGCTCGTATGTGCCCATTGAGTCATAGTCTTGGAAGGGGGTTTGCCCTGAGGGGACTTGCCTTGATGTCACCTGGGCGAGCAACTTGCTTGTTCTTATAGTAGTCAGTCAGACTGCCATTATTGTTTTCTATTTTTCCTGTAGGTCTTTCTTTCAAGAAGTATCTTCTGTTCTTCTAGCCACTCCAGGATGGTCTGCTTGTCCTTTGTAGTGGAAATTTCCCACCTCAGAAGATTCTGGATGGGGTTCGGGATTCCACCTATGGTCTTATTCAATGCAGAGGCTCCACAGGAAGCCTCCTTCATTGGGCGTGATTGCAATCTTTTATAAGTAGAGTTCTTTTCTTCTGAGTCACTTCAGTGGATTCAAACTTTTTGGTTAGTAACTGAAGGTGTAAACCTTTATACCACCCAAGTACTCATTTTGATGTCTACAAAGATTGGTGTTTTTACCTTGTGTATAGTTGTTGTTGTGAAGTGCTGTTGAGTCGGTTCTGACCCATAGCGACCCTGTATAGGGTTTTCGAGGAGCAGCTGGTGAGCTTGAACCGCTGACTTTGCAGTTCAAACAGCTTTGCAGTCTGGCACATTAACCCACAGCGCCATCCCAGGACTCCTTGTGTATAGTAGACACCATCTATTGAGTTTGGAGTTATGAGAGTGGATGGAGTTGGTGACTGATGAAAGCTGAAGTAAGCAGGAGTAAACATGAACAGTGGAAGGAAGCGGCAATGAGGATACTAGCTAGTTGCCTCAGTAATTCTGTACATAAATGGCTGGGTGTAGGCATGTCTTAGGAGATCTGGTAGCATAGTGCTTATGAGTCCGGCTGCTAACCTCAGGTT